GACGGGGCCCAAGAGGGGAAGGGGAGCAAGGGTTCCTATAGGTTGAGAATTGGCTCGTGGAATATAGGGACGTTGACGGGTAAGTCTATAGAGCTGGTGAAAATTCTCCAAAAGAGGAAGGTCAACATAGCATGTGTTCAGAAGACTAGGTGGGTAGGATCGAAGGGGAGAAATGCGGACGGGTATAAGTTGTGGTACTCCGGAGGCGTGAAGGGCAAGAACGGATAGGTATTTTGGTGGATAGGGAGCTCAGAGAGTCAGTGGTAGAGGTTAAACGGATAAATGACAGATTGATGAGGATTAAGTTAGTAGTTGGAGGGAGCACTCTGAATGTCATTAGCGCGTACGCGCCGCAAGCGAGTTTGGACGAGCAGGTTAAAAGGCGCTTCTGGGAGGCGTTGGATGAGGTGGTGCAATGTATTCAACCTACAGAGAAGTTATTTATAGGAGGGAATTTCAATGGTCATATTGGGACGTCTGCTGGTGGCTATAGCGAGGTGCACAGAGGCTTCGGCTTTGGGGATAGGAACGGAGGAGGAACTTCACTGTTGGATTTTGCTAGAGCTTTTGAGTTGGTGATTGTGAACTCTATTTTTCAGAAGAGGGCAAGGAGCATTTGATTACTTTTCGGAGTATGGTGTCTAAGACTCAGATTGATTATCTCATCCTCAGGAGGTGTGATAAGGGTTTGTGCGAGGATTTTAAGTTGATCCCGAGTGAGAACCTTGTGACACAACATAGGCTCTTGGTGATGGACATCGGTATCTGGTTAAAGAGGAAGAAGAGGTCTGCACGGGGTCAACCGAGGATCATGTGGGGAGTTTTGACTAAGGACAATGCGCAGGAGTTGGAGAGGCGGTTAACGGCTATGGGGGCTGGAAGAGCGATGAGGATGCTAGCATTATGTGGACGACAACAACAGAATGTATAAGGGAGGCGGAAAGGGAGGTGTTAGGGATCTCGAAGGGCTACTCTGGCGGGCATAGAGGCGACTGGTGGTGGAATGACGTGGTCTAGGGTAAAGTGGAAGCAAAGAAAGTGGCGTACCTTAAGTTAGTGGAGAGCACCGACGAGGAGCATAGGAGAGCGAACAGAGAAAGATATAAGGAAGCTAGGAGGGAGGCAAAATTAGCGGTCACAGAGGCTAAGACTGCTGCATTTGGTCAGCTGTATGAGGAAATGGGGGCCAAAGGTGGGGACAAGAAGTTATTTCGGCTGGCTAGAGCGGGAGAGAGGAAGGCTCGTGACCTGGATCAAGTTAGGTGCATCAAAAACGAGGAAGGTCGTGTATTGATGGAAGAGGCCCGGATTAAGAAAAGATGCCAGTCGTACTTTCATAAACTGTTGAACGAAGAGGGAGACGGAAACATCGTGTTAGGGGGATTGGGGCACTCGGAGAGTCACCGAGACTTTAGGTACTGTAGGCGTATTAGGGTTGAGGAGGTAGTAAGAGCGATGCGTAAGATGAGTCAGGGCAAAGCAACCGGACCAGACGAGATCCCAGTAGAATTTTGGAGGTATATGGGTAGAGCAGGCTTGGAGTGGTTGACTGGACTGTTTAATATTATTCCCAGAAGAGGATGCCAGATGAGTGGAGGTGGAGAACGATGATTCCGCTATACAAGAACAAAGGTGATATCCAGAATTATAACAACTATAGGGGTATCAAGTTACTGAGTCATACCATAAAAGTTTGGGAGAGGGTGATGGAAGAGAGGATAAGGAGGGTGGTGTTTATATCAGAGAACCAGTTCGGGTTCATGCTGGGTCGTTCTACTACGGAAGCTATCCATATTATTAGAAGGTTGGTGGAACAATACAGAGATAGGAAGAGGGATTTGCACATGGTGTTTATTGACCTAGAGAAGGCGTATGACAAGGTCCCTAGGGATGTTCTTTGGAGATGCCTGGAGGTGAAAGGTGTTCCGGTAGCTTATATAAGGGCGATAAAAGATATGTATGATGGAGCTAAGACTCGGGTTAGGATAGTGGGAGGTGACTCAGAGCCTTTTCCGATGGTTATGGGGTTACACCAAGGATCTGCGCTCAGCCCGTTCTTATTTTCCCTGGCGATGGACACACTGACACACCCTATTTAAGGGGAGGTGCCTTGGTGTATGCGGTTCGCTAATGATATAGTTCTGATTAAGGAGACGCGAGGCAGTGTTAACGTGAGACTGGAGGAATGGAGGCAGGCCCTAGAATCTAAAGGTTTCAAGTTGAGTAGGACCAAGACGGAATATTTGGAGTGTAAGTTTAGCAACGTTTCAGGGGAAGCGGATGTGGAAGTGAGGCTTGACTCACAAGTCATCCCTAAGAGAGAGAGTTTCAAGTATCTAGGGTCTATTATCCAGGGAGATGGGGAGATCGACGGGGATGTCACGCACTGTATCGGGGTGGGGTGGATGAAATGGAGGTTAGCGTCTGGAGTCCTATGAGACAAGAATGTACCACCGAAACTTAAAGGTAAGTTCTACAGGGCAGTGGTTAGACCGGCCATGTTGTATGTGGTTGAGTGTTGGCCAGTCAAGATTTCACATATCCAGAAGATGAAAGTAGCAGAAATGAGGATGTTGAGATGGATGTGCGGGCACACTTGGATGGATAAGATTAGGAATGAGGTCATTCGGAAGAGGGTGGGTGTGGCTCCCGTGGATGACAAGATACGTGAAGCGAGACTTAGGTGGTTCAGGCACTTGCGGAGGAGGAGCGCAGATGCTCCGGTCAGGAGGTGTGAGCGTTTGGTTCTGGCAGTTACGAGAAGAGGTAGATGGCGGCCTAAGAAGTACTGGAGTGAGGTGATTAGGCAGGACATGGTGCATCTTCAAATTTTTGAGGACATGGCCTTTGATAGAAAGGTGTGGAGATCGAGCATTAGGGTTGTAGGTTAGAGGGTAGTCGAATGTTTCTCCTCGCTGCACCAGCTAGTCTGATAGTGTTTTGTCTAGGACTGCTAGCGATTTTTGTTGTGTTTCATAATTTATTTTTTTATTTTTAATTTTTATTTTTATTATTATTATTATTATTATTATTATTATTATTATTATTATTATTATTATTATTATTATTATGTTATAGTTGTTGTTGTCTTTCACATTTTGGCCTTTCCATTTATTTGCTGTATTTTACGATGCTGATACTATTTTTCTGGTTTCTGTTGTGGTTACGGATCTATTGTCTCTGAGCTGAGGGTCTCCCGGAAACAACCTCTCTATGCCTCCGGGGTAGGGTAAGGTCTGCATACATTTTACCCTCACCAGACTCCACTAGTGGAATTCTACTGGGTGGTTGTTGTTGTTGTACAATAACTTTTATATTAATTTTTTAAATATTTAAGATTTTAAAATTAATGCAATCTTGTCTATTGAATTCTTATTAAAAATATATAGGAAGGTTTAATAAAATCAATTTCATAAGAATCCTCCATATTGGTAATACATTACCACTTTATGATATTCAATACAAAAAAAAAAGTAATGTTAAATGGACTGCATAAAGCATTGAAATTGAGAAGAAAAAAAATCCCACGATAATATATTATTATATTATATTTGAATTGCTTTCCTACTCAAATAATTTTTTTATTATTAATTTTTTGTGTAATACAGAAAAATATACCAAGTTATTAAAGAACAACTAAGAAATATTTTAAGAATATAAATGTGTGATAAAAGAAAGAAAAATATTGGTAAAAGCCAATACCACTAATGATTTTACAAACATAAAGATCTAAAAATGAAATGTCATTGATCTTTTTACTCTTTGAAAATAAAATTTATGGTGGATAAAATTATAATCATAGTTAAATATTCAAACATGAGATGAACTAATATTAAAAATCTAAATCAACAGAAAATAAATTATATTTTATGTTAAAACTAAATAATTAAATCTTTCAATTAATTATTTAGCAAGAAAATCCAATTAAATTATTTTTTAAATTCATCATATGAGTAAAGTTATTTTTCAAATTGAAAAAAATATAATATTAAGAAGGCCATACAAGTGTTTGAGGAAGCACAATCAAAGCTAAATCCTGAACAAGATTAAGCTTTCAAGACTATATTATAAAAAATTGATCCTGGTATAGCGGGATTATCTTTTGTAGATGCCTCCGGCGGAATCGAAATAATATTCCTATGTCATGCATTACTTGTAAATGTCATATCAAGAGGCATGATATTGTTAGCAATAAGAACAAGTGGTGTACAAACAACGAATTTATTATGATGACGTACAACTCACTTTAGATTTGATATACCTCTTCAAATAAATGAAACAACCATCACAAATATATCAAATCAGATCAATAGTACTAAATTTATAAGGAAAGCAAAAGTGATAATATGGGATGAAGTGCTTTTGGCTAAGCGTCAGACGATCGAAACAATCGCCCAGAGTTTTAGAGATATATTGGATATCGATGAACCGTTTGGTAGAAAAGTAATAGTTTGGGAGGTGATTTCTGTCAAGCCCGATCAATAGTTCCAAAAATGACCAAAGCAGAAACTGTAAAAGCTAGCTTGCCAAAATTATACTTATGACCTCAAATGAAAAATATTCAAATGACAAGAAATGTAAAAGTAAGAAAAGATCCAACATTCAGTGACTTCTTGCTTCGTGTCGGAAACGAAGAAGAGCATCCAATAAAAGATGATTTGGTTCTTCTACAACACGTGGTTATCAACTCCAATGGTAATAGTAGTACATTTAATAAGGAAAATATTTTCATCATTAGATTAAAACACAATTTTTGCAAATTACACGATAGAAATTAAAGAGCTATCTTAACTAGTAGAAATGAATATGTTGATCAACTAAATAAAAAGTTGATTGCTAAGTTTTATGGTAAAAATAAAATATTTTTCAGTTTTGACTCAATAGAAGATGATACCAACAAATACTACCAAGAAGAATACTTAAATACTTTAATACCAATTGGTCTTCTACCGTACATGTTTGTTGTCAAGTTAATTATTTCTTACGTATGTTAGTGTCACCATATATATATATATATATATATATATATATATATATATATATATATAAAGTTAAAATTGATCTTCCATTGCATATAGGTTTATTGTCATGACCCAAAACTTAGCCCGTCGTGATGGCGCCTAACATGGTACTAGGCAAGCCGACACCTCAAAACATGTCCAACACTTTTAAATGAAAACAAAAATGAACTAAAACAGGTTTAATAATTAAAGATTTCATAAACGGGATAAAAGGTCAAGACTCAACTCAAAAATTCTCAAAAACCAGGGTGTCACTGAGTACATTAGCGTCTATACAACACAAGTCTGAAAATACTATCTATGAAAATCTGAAACTAAATACATAAAGCTGAAAGATAGGGAGGGAGAGTCAAGGTCTGAGGACGCCGGGCAACTACCTCGAAATCTCCGAATGAATAAGCTGCTCAAATAATCAGCACCCACCATGTCCGGAAACACCTGGATCTGCACACGAAGTGCAGGGTGTAGCGTGAGTACAACCAACTCAGTAAGTAACAAGACTAACTATTGGACTGAAAGTAGTGACGAGCTTCACAGTACAATTCAATTACAGAATTTCAGTACAGGAAAGTAGGCATGCTTCCAAGTTCGACAGTTAA